ACACTCACCACTGTATGACGACTGGTACTCTCTACAACAAGAGACACTCACCACTCTGTAAGACAAGAGACACTCTCCACTCTACAAGCGACTCTCTCCACTCTACAAGAGACACTCTCCACTCTACAAGAGACACTCTCCACTCTACAAGAGACACTCTCCACTCTACAAGAGACACTCTCCACTCTACAAGAGACACTCTCCACTCTACAAGAGACACTCCCACTCTGTCAGACACTCACCACTGTATGACGACTGGTACTCTCTACAACAAGAGACACTCTCCACTCTACAAGAGACACTCTCCACTCTACAAGAGACACTCTCCACTCTACAAGAGACACTCTCCACTCTACAAGAGACACTCTCCACTCTACAAGAGACACTCTCCACTCTGTCAGACACTCACCACTGTATGACGACTGGTACTCTCTACAACAAGAGACACTCACCACTCTACAACAAGAGACACTCTCCACTCTACAAGAGACACTCTCCACTCTACAAGAGACACTCCCACTCTGTCAGACACTCACCACTGTATGACGACTGGTACTCTCTACAACAAGAGACACTCACCACTCTGTAAGACAAGAGACACTCTCCACTCTACAAGCGACTCTCTCCACTCTACAAGAGACACTCTCCACTCTACAAGAGACACTCTCCACTCTGTCAGACACTCACCACTGTATGACGACTGGTACTCTCTACAACAAGAGACACTCACCACTCTACAACAAGAGACACTCACCACTCTACAAGAGACACTCCCACTCTGTCAGACACTCACCACTGTCTGTATGACGACTGGTACACTCTACAGCAAGAGACACTCACCACTCTACAACAAGAGACACTCACCACTCTACAAGAGACACTCCCACTCTGTCAGACACTCACCACTGTCTGTATGACGACTGGTACACTCTACAGCAAGAGACACTCACCACTCTACAGCAAGAGACACTCACCACTCTACAGCAAGAGACACTCACCACTCTACAGCAAGAGACACTCTCCACTCTACAGCAAGACACTCACCACTGTATGACGACTGGTACACTCTACAAGAGACACTCACCACTCTACAACAAGAGACACTCTCCACTCTACAACAAGAGACACTCACCACTCTACAAGAGACACTCCCACTCTGTCAGACACTCACCACTGTCTGTATGACGACTGGTACACTCTACAGCAAGAGACACTCACCACTCTACAGCAAGAGACACTCACCACTCTACAGCAAGAGACACTCACCACTCTACAACAAGAGACACTCACCACTGTATGACGACTAGTACTCTCTTTAGAATGCCACATCAACAAACCCGATAGATCGATGAGCGGCCATTGGTGCCAAATATAAACGTCCTTCTCTGAGGGATTGAGGGGAGGGGGGAGGGTGGAAGCTGCTTTAGAATGAAACAGTAAAGATGACATACATGGACTATGATGTATCATCTCCCTTTTTTTTACTGATTCATTTTTACCAATCTCGTTTGATCAAGTTGTTGGCCTAAATGTCGTTAATTGGTAACTTGCCACTGTAAAACCTTATCTAATAGGCGAGTTGTGTATGTGTAGGCTGCTCTTGTTAAAGCTTACTTTTGACATCTCTGAATGATGGTCTAGTCGTGTGTGTTCTCTAGTTTGAAAACCTTGTATAAGCGGGTTATTGTGTAGATACAGTCCTAGTTTCACGGCCTGTAATGTCTGATTATATAGGAGGAATAAACATATTGTGCGTTAACTAGGGAACGTCTTTGTCTTGCGCTCAGTATAATTTCATATACGCTCGGGTTAGGCTCCAACCTACGGTTAGTGGTTAGGCTCCAGCCTACGGTTAGTGGTTAGGCTCCAGCCTACGGTTAGTGGTTAGGCTCCAACCTACGGTTAGTGGTTAGGCTCCAACCTACGGTTAGTGGTTAGGCTCCAACCTACGGTTAGTGGTTAGGCTCCAACCTACGGTTAGTGGTTAGGTTCGGTAGGTTCAGAGTTCAGGTTTAGGTGTGCAGTCTTTTTGTTAATGCTAGATTGCTAATTTGTATGTGTATGGCCAGTCTCCAAGTCCCGTTAATACCGTTAATATGTATAAAAAAACATATTACATTCTGGCACATGTCGTTTTAGGACCTTTATAGACAGAAGATTTCATTAATTAATTAAGCATAATTAACTATTCATTAACAAAACAGTTATCCCCCCCCCCCCCCCCATCCCCAACAACACACAAGTAAAAAGCTTTGTTCAGACACCGGTCTAAAAATAGCCATGATCACTAAACCAATTAACACAGCCGCGTCACAGTTCAAAGTTCAGATTTTCACTCTCCCCTTTCTTTACGATCAAGTTTGCCTTAGTGTCTTGGTGTATGTGAATTATGAAGAAAGATAGGCGGAATGTGAGATGGGAACAGGACATTACCCCCTGTACCGGTCAGTAGGGCACTCAGTGTTTCTTCCAGACTTTTATCTCCGGGGTGGCACTTGAAATCTTCGGTAAACTTTCTTCGGGGGGGGGGGGGGCGGACACTGTTAAAAGTATATATTTTCTATATAAATTATATAAATTTCATTTCGTTCGGGGGGGGGGGGGGGGCGGTAAAAATTTTTCGGCCCCCCCCCCCCCCCCCCCGAAGAGATGCCTGGAAGAAACTCTGAGGGCACTGCAGTAAGGCATTACTCACCTATTGATTACAAATCGAACTTAAACTTAATCCTAACTTTTAACCTAACCCTAATCGAAAGTCAGAGTTAGGATTAGGACTTGATACAATTCTGGAATGGAATGATCTTGTTTTGCTCTTTGCCGGTTTTGTTTTCTCTAGAATGACTAGCAAAAGTACAAGCTATGACTTATTTTGTACTTTATCACCCCCTTCCCCACCCCCCTTTTTTAATGCATTAAATCGAATGCACAGGTATGCTATAGAATTCCGGGTTTGTTACTTTACCGCCGTGTATTCTCGTAATGGGACTTTGGTAATTGGCGGGTATCGGACATACGTATAATAGTATTGGCTAGCATGGTAGTACATTAGTAGTTTAGTACTGGCCAACGTAATGAAACAAACACACGGAAGTCAAATCTACTGGGTTGTTGACAGCAAGTTACCTTTGAAACTAATTAAATATGCAAGAAATACAAAAGTTGTAATCTAGATCTAGGTCTAGCAGTTAAAAAAACAAGTGTTTTGTGTAGTGGAGGACGGCTCGGGGTTCAAGGTAAAACACATGACGTTGGTTTTATTTTTGTCGCCACCTCAAAGACATGTGAGCAGGAGGGTCAGTAAACACTGAGACGGGTGGGCCCGTAGATCTTTGGACCGGTGGGTCAGTAGACCTTTGATTCTTAGGACGTGTGGGCCATTAGAATTAGTCTCAATTAGATCTTTACTACGGGTGGACCAAGATCTTTGAAATTGTGGACAATAGAATGATTTGTAGATGTTGGACCTGTGGGCCAGTAGATCTTTGAAAGTGTGGGTCAGTAGCAGTTTCTTCCAGGCATCTCTTCGGAGGGGGGGGGGGGGGGGGGTCAGAGCCCCGCCCCCCCCCCCCCCCGAAATTTTACCGCGCCCCCCCTCCCCCCCCCCCCCCGAACGAAATAAAATGTATATAAATAATTTATATAGAAAATATATACTTTTAACAGTGTCCCCCCCCCTCCGAAGAAAGTCTACCGCCCCCCCCCCCCCCCCCAAAATTTCAAGTGCGCCCCCCCCCCCCGGAGATTAAAGTCTGGAAGAAACACTGGTCAGTAGATCTTTGATTCTTCATGCATTGGATGTGTGGGCCATTGCCATTAGATATTTGGACCGGTGGGCCATTAGATCTTCGGATAGGTGGGCCATTAGATCTTTGGAATTGTGGGTCATGTAATCTTTGGACTGGACGGGAGGGCCAGTGGGCATACGTTAGCGCATAGATCTTTTAATTGGTATCATAATCGTGATAACCACCGAAAAATGATACTGATAACCTTCACTTGGTTAGTCTCAGTACAGTTACTAAATACTATTATTAGGGCTAGGTTTGAAGGGTTGTGGTACTATCTTCATCTTGATATAATCGTAGGTCTGGCTAATACTCTAAATACTGTAATAGAGTGTTACCAGAAGGCAGAAGCCAAAGCAATTGTGCTATTTTTCTTTGTTAAATTCTTAAACTATTTATCTAAGCCAAATAAGACCCATTTTTTTAAAGATAATTAATGAGCACCCCCAACTCCCTACCACCTACCCCAAGCAAAAATCCTTCAATACCCATCACCCTGGCCTTATAATAAAGTTGCACTTGTTTAGTCTATTGGATTTAATGAAACCATGCTATCAATTAGATAACATTTTATTTCACTACTTAACTTGCAATACTGTTGCAATATCTAAGATTAGATAAGAACACTATCTAACCACTAGATTAATTCATGTGATGTCATATAAACTTAATAATAAAATATTTTAAAGTCTAGATCTCTAGTGAAGTGATACAAATTTTGATTTGGTGGATTTGGTGTGTAAAAGTATGCCATGTTTAGGAACATGTGTAGTGACAGTGTTAGATTGGTATATATACAATTTTCCATCTAGGTGTGTAAATAGCTTTAGTGTGATGTTTTTAAAATAGGTTAAACCTATTCATACAATTGTTTTGATTCCATCACTTATGCATGCTTGGTTAGTGTGTGTCCGTTTTCTTTGAAGAATTTTTGGCATACAAAGCCAACATACGAATTATTCCATATCCTGAAACTGTTAATTGAACTAGCAAATCATATAATTTATCTTACTTAATTTATCGAATTAATACTTTGAAGAATATTTTTGTCTTTATTTAGACTTTAAATTTTTTATAACTAGAAGTCTTGTAAAGCCTTGTGTATGCACCAGTTGATCAATCTATTTATAAAACTAATCTCCAGAAACAGAAGAGTGTTTTTGAGTTTCCCCAAACAAGATAATAATAACAGTTTTATATTGCTATGTGTTCCAGGTTGTCACTTGATGAATCTCAGAGGGTGCGGTGACCTGCCAGTCAGAGCCAGCCCAGGTTGTAATTAGGTTCACTCCTGGTCAGTTAATCAAGGTGAACTGTTGCCCCTAATCCCAGGATTAACTGTTGGATCTAATCCCAGGATTAACATTAGTGAACTGGGAACGCTGGTGGTGGGGGCAAGGAGCTGAAACTATGTAGTGATAGCAGAAAACAGACACAAGACAATGGCTGAGCTGTTGTCTGTACAGGTAAGAGTTGTCTCCGCCTGGTTAGAACTGTGTATGTTATTGTGTGGCAAGGACTGTAGGTAACTACACCTCAACCCAGAGGATATCATGGTTGAATGGTCGAGCGTTTGACTGCTAGCTTGAAAGACTTGAGTTCGTAGCCTAGGCTCGTCCACCCAACTCTTATACGCGGGAAAGTAAAGGTGGCTGGGTCTAGTGCTGACAACACTTACCCTTCATATGCTAAGGTCACTGAAACAGGTGAACTCTACTTCACCTGACTCATCAGCGGTTAGGTTCAATAGGGTATTTTCTTACTTAAACCTAACCCTAGCCCTAAGTATATATTATTTATTGTGTAGCCAGAAATGTGAATTTCTAAACTTAACCCTAATCCTAGATCTTAGTACATTTTCTAAACTATAGTTAATAAAACTTATACCTTACTTAATCCTTGACTCTAAGCCTTTCCCTATGTCCAAACTTAAACCTAACCTTAGTGGTTTAGGTATTATTACTTCTTCATGCTGTAAGAATATTTAGAGTCAATTAATACAAACCTAATTAATCCTTATCCTAGAAATAACCTTATAATAGCATACCCCAAAGGCTTACAATTTACTGTAGGTGAAACGTGATGTAGTTTTTTTTACAGTTTATTAATAGAAAACCTAACCTTAGCCCTAGCTATTACCCTTACTGATTTAAACATATTTAAGTGTACCTGATCTGTCAAAGTGTTAGATGATGTCAAAAATCAAAGTTTGTGTAGTGTTGTTGCTGTGTTGTTGATCAAAGAAATTAGATTGAATCATGTGATGCTGTTAACTGTGTATATCTATAGCTGTGCTGTTAATCTCTGACACTATGTTTAAAATGGGTATTGAAATATTTGTATGTGAACAAGTTCAAAGTTCATGTCAGGTCAACACATGTGGGGGTCATACAAATTTCCTTCTGGGCAAAGTGCCAAAGTTAATTTTAAGAAAAGGCAATAAACCTTTTATAAACATATTTTATGCCATAATCTTTCTATTTTAAGAAATAAAACTGAATGAATCTTTCTATTTTAAGAAATAAAACTGAATGTAACTTAAGCATTTCCTTAAGCACCTCTGGAGTGTGTTGCGTTGGTGGCTATTAAAAGACAGGTGGGAAATGGATGGCCAACCAGAGTTATGCAAACTGTGGAAACAGTCTAAATTTAAATGTAAACAGTACACAGTCTAGACCTATAAATAGAATGTTGTAATAGCATTTTAGGTATTGCTAGAGGCCGTCTCAATGCTAATGTAAACAGTACAAACAGATACAATCTTGTAATAGTATTTTAATCATTGTTGGTAGTTGTCTACATATAAATGTAAAAATCTCCTATAGATCTAATCTGGTAGTAAAAATTAACCTTAAGTACATCATTGTGTAGCAAGAACTGTGGTCAGACGGTAGAGCATTTGGCTGCTACCCTAAAAGCCTTGAGTTTGTATTCCAGGCTAGAGTCATAGCATGTCCCTGAGTCCACCCAGCTCTGATAGGTACCTAAATTACATGAGGGAAAGTAAAGGTGGATGGGCATAATATGCTAAGTTACAGAAATATGTGAACTCTACTTCATCTGCCTCATGGACGGCCAGGTTTTAAAGGATAACCTTACTTTTACAAGAGAGGGTTTATATATGTAAACTAGTTTATTCCACTGCTGAGGCACACTGAATAAAATCAGTTGTTTTGTATTATTCATCTTGTCCTGTGCAACATTCCAAGTTGATGAATCAACTTCCTCTGTCAATAGACACTTGTATTCAATGCATGGGCTCCAACAGAGCTGTATTGAGTCTATGTGTTTTACAGATATTCATCTTTAGCCCAGTGTCACATAAGTAGGCACATCTGCTGCCAGTGGGCATACTTTGTACTGTATCATCTAAGTTATACCTGTTACCACCACATGACCAAATGGACAGGCTGGCTTTTACAATCATTTTGTTGTTACCAGTGCCAGGAATTTGTCATGGGAAGGGGTTCTAACCCCTGCCAACACACACTTCCCCCCCCCCCCTCCCTTCCACCTATGCCTCTGGTTGTTAGATAATTTGTTATTGTATTCCTGTAAAGCCCTGCTCTTCTTTTATTTTATACTCAGCGCCACAGTGGCCGATTGAAAAAAAAAGAAAAAATTATATTTGTCTTGTCCATGAGGTACTTGGGTGTTTTGGTAGTTTTACTTTTGCCAGAACCACAACTCTATCCGGCCAAAGCTTAGCTCTTATCATAACCCAAACATCGATATCAGCTGAAAAAAACAAATTGGTGTTTTTTATTGCTTAAATACCACTCTACCAAAATATATATTTATATTTAAATAGAGATTCTTTCTACAAAGTGAAACTTGCCACTAAAAAAGTGCCCATAACATGAAACTTGCCACTAAAAAAATGTAAAATAAATTGAAACTTGCCACTAAAAACTGCACACCTCCACAGGTACAGATACCTGCACACCTGGGCAAGCTTCTGAGACCAGAGACCAAGAAGTTGCTAGGTGACAATGGGACGAAAGAAAAAGGTCGCTCGTCCCACCTGGCTAAACACAAGCCAGTGGACATCACGTTCAACAATTTGTCTTACTTTGTTAAGGAGGGACACAGTAGGAAAGGTAGGCTCAATCAGCAGGTGAAAATAATTACTTAAAAAACAAAATTTTGCTTTGTACAATGGTGATTTCTAAAAGATGGAAAATTTGTCATCCCATCTCTAAATGTAAACATGTTTTTTTTCCCACCCATCTCTAAATGTAAACATGTTTTCATAATAGAAATGATGAATGCCTTATTTTATATTTTTTTTTAATTAAATAATTATTTGTTATAGTTTATTTTATGGTTTATAAATATAGGCACATATATATAAAAAAGTATTTACTGCATGAAATGTTTATGTTGTAAGTTGTAAAATTTCCCCCCAATTTCCCAGGTAAAAAAATGATCCTGAAGAATATATCAGGGAGATTTGTCTCTGGTGAGCTGACAGCCATCATGGGGCCATCTGGTGCTGGCAAGTCTTCCTTGATGAACATTCTAGCTGGTTATAGGTTTGTTTTATTTCTTTTAGATTTTAGGACACATTTTTGTTTTTTTCTTAAAGGAACCAATCAACTTAATCAAATGGGCTCACAGTTTTTCATTTACAATATAGGGCATGATTTTTTAAAAAGACAAGAACAAATTAACATATTATGCTTTTGTTAGGAGCCAGTTCCCATACTTTTGGGATTTGTCATTTCTTTTGCTAGCACTTAATTGTTCTTAATAGTACTTAAATAATAGTTCTGAGGAAATATATCTTCTTCAAGATCAGAAGTGAATTTTCTTGTATAAAGCAGCCCTGGTCTAATGGTAGAAGAGTCTCTCCCTTACCTAAAAGTCACTAGTTAGGTACTGGCATTAAGGCCCATATAGTATTGCCCCCAATTTCAAAATGGAGACATGCACCAAGGCAGATAGGAAAATAATAGTGGGAAAATAATGGGGTCTTAATTACTGGTCTAGTGTGAAAATAATGGGCCGTAGTTACTGGTCACATGTGTAGTGCTCATTTCTACATTCAGCTGTGAGGATACCTTGCCTTATGCCTGAATAAGAGAAGTTTTATAAATCTGTCCACAATTTTTCTGCAATAGTTTGGGATATTGCTTGTTCTTTCTCTACTTACAACCTACCATAAAACTCTTTTTAAATATAATTGTTTTGTAGATCTGTGTTGTTAGTATTTTTATTGACAAAAAAAAAATATTTTATTTCCACCAACTTAAACTATCAGAACAAAGAATGTGACCGGGTCTCTGTTGGTGCGTAACCGAGAGCGAGATTTGAGGTCGTTCCGCAAGATGTCGTGCTACATCATGCAAGATGATGAGCTCCTGCCACACCTGACGGTGGAGGAGGCTATGATGTGCTCGGCTAATCTGAAACTTGATGAGAAGTTGTCTCCCATGGAGAAGCTGGAAATGGTAGGTTACGGTTAGGGTTTAGTTGAGAAGACAATGGTTAGTTTGGGGTTAAGGCAAAGACTTGGCCTTATATGTTCTGACATTTGACACCAGTTTTGACATGTGACACCTGTAGTGACATGTGACACCTGTAGTGACATGTGACACCAGCATTGACATGTGACACCTGTAGTGACATGTGACACCTGTAGTGACATGTGACACCAGCATTGACATTTGACATCAGCATTGACATGTGACACCTGTAGTGACATGTGACTCCAGCAGTGACATGTGACACCACTCCTTCTGACCCCCAGGTGGACGAGATCCTGGACACATTAAGCTTGAACGAGGCCAAGAAGACGCGGACATCCAATCTCTCTGGTGGACAGAGAAAGAGGCTGTCCATAGCTCTAGAGCTGGTCAACAACCCTCCAATCATGTTTTTTGATGAGCCAACAAGGTCAGTAAACACCACCATTAGGAAATATAGTTTACCTTTCTAGCCAATTTTCATAGATACCTAGTTTATCAACTAATGTACAGAAGTTCCTTAAAATAATAACTTTTACTTGAAAATTCCTTTGTTGACCTAGATTATCACTTTCATTTTGTTCGTTCAAAAAATATTTCACATTTTTAATTTGTTTCAAATCTTTCACCTCCTGATTATTTTTTCACATTTTTGTTTCAAATCTTTCACCCCCTGATTATTTTTTTACATTTTTGTTTCAAATCTTTCACCCCCTGATTATTTTTTCACATTTTTGTTTCAAATCTTTCACCCCTGATTATTTTTTCACATTTTTAACACGTTTTTATTAACTCAGCTTCGCGTGTGTTTGTTGTTAAAATTGACATCGAAAATTAGCCCACTTCTGATTGCTCTATAGATCTGAAATTTGGCATGCAGGCTACTTTCGCCTAACAATTTCAGATGCAATCATAAAAACTAGCAATTAGAGACCGTAATTAGCTTAATTTAATTACGCCCTAAGGACCATAAAATTGAGGACATGATTTCTAAAGATACCGACAAGACTGGAGGCCTATTGACACAGTTACTTCGGCCCCAATGGATGTGAGCGCGCTGGCCGTGATCGTATAGTGGTTAGTACTTCGTGTTGTGGCCGCGACAACCCAGGTTCGAATCCTGGTCGCTCAAGATTTTTAGTCCGTGTATTTATAAACACTTAGTCAAGTCATATTTAATCAAGTCATTAGATAAAGTAGAAAATAAACTATATAAAAAACTTTTTTAAAAACCACGTTTTTCATGTGTAGCAACGGACTAAAAAGGAGAAAATAAAATACTTAAAAAAAACTTTTTAAAAAACCACGTTTTTCTTGTGGACTAAAAAGTAGAAAATAACTATTTACATACATTTGATGACAAAAAACGTGGGTCGGGCAGATGGGTCGGGAAATTTGATGGTGAACGTACCCACGTTTTTTGTCATCAAATGTATGTAAATAGTTATTTTCTACTTTTTAGTCCACAAGAAAAACGTGGTTTTTTAAAAAGTTTTTTTTAAGTATTTTATTGTTTCAAATCTTTCACCCCCTGATTATTTTTTCACATTTTTGTTTCAAATCATTCACCCCCTGATTATATTTTCACATTTTTAATTTGTTTCAAATCTTTCACCCCCTGATTATTTTTTCACATTTTTAATTTATTTCAAATCTTTCACCCCCTGATTATATTTTCACATTTTTAATTTGTTTCAAATCTTTCACCCCTGATTATTTTTTCACATTTTTAATTTGTTTCAAATCTTTCACCCCCTGATTATTTTTTCACATTTTTAATTTGTTTCAAATCTTTCACCCCTGATTATTTTTTCACATTTTTAATTTGTTTCAAATCTTTCACCCCCTGATTATTTTTTCACATTTTTAATTTGTTTCAAATCTTTCACCCCTGATTATTTTTTCACATTTTTAATTTGTTTCAAATCTTTCACCCCCTGATTATTTTTTCACATTTTTAATTTGTTTCAAATCTTTCACCCCTGATTATTTTTTCACATTTTTAATTTATTTCAAATCTTTCACCCCTTGATTGATTTATATTCTCTATCCTCCCCAGTGGGTTGGACAGTGCCTCATGTTTCCAGTGTGTGTCTCTGTTAAAAAAATTAGCTGAGGAGGGGAGGACAATCATCTGCACCATCCACCAGCCCAGTGCAAAACTCTTTGAGATGTTTAATCATGTGAGTTGTGTCCCTTGTTTTTTAAACTAACAGGGTTATGCACCTTGGTAGTTATCCAATCAAAATGTCATGAAATTTTTAATTTTAATTTTTTTTTACATTTAGACCTTGGAGTTGGGTAACTTATAAATAAATCATGTACTGAATATCATTGAACATTTACAATACATAATTTAAAAAAAAAAGCTAATGAATATTTGAATTGAACAAAACAATCAATAAACATCCATCTTTTAAGTTCACACACTCAGCAACAAATGTTGCAAGGTCATTCAATTATTTCACTCAGGACAATGTGAAATATAATCTATTTAATCAACTCAACACAAAATAGATGTCTCTCTTTGTTAGACAGAACCTTCACATTTGCCATAGTTATTTAATTAATCTTACACTTGCCTGACCCCCCATCCCCACCCCCTCTCACCTAAGTGTAAATATATGATCCTTTTTATAAGTGACCACACAGGCAACAAAACAACTTAGTCTAGCCTGTATGCCCTAAGCCTGGGTGAGTAGTCCTCAACTCTCACCACTTGTGTCAGGTGAGCTAATTATGGCGAAATTCGCAACTCGTTATTCAAATTACCATGATAAAAGTTATGTGAGTAGTCTTCAACTTCGACCAATGACATGTGTGAAGTGAAAGCTAATTATGGTGAACTTTGCACCTGATTATTCTAATTACCTTGATAAAATTTATATTAGTACTATCAGAGCACCTGTGCTGCACACAGGTGCGCACATCCATTGTGCATGCATTGCATTGGTGTGGATATTCCTTCAGTTATATCATTAAAGTAATAGTCAAAAGCTAATGATACATTTAAACTCAATTATATATTATGATATTAAATATAGAATTGGGTTTCTCTGACATTCCAGCCAACTTTATTTTAAAGCGAAGCACTGACTTGTGACCTAAGTTCAAAGTTCAATTCTGCTTCACTCTTACATGCTGTCCTTCTATAAGAAGATAAAATTTATAAAAAAAAATATACATCAGCTCCCTGCTCAAAATTTCCTCCAGAAATATTTCTAAAAGTTTCTAGAAACCTACACTTAAGTTTATACTGTAATCATGTAATCATTATCTACGTCACAAAATTAATTGAATAATATTCTCCTCTCCTAACTAATGTCAGTATTCTATTTCTCTATCTATTCAGTGTTCTATTCCTCTATCTAATGTCAGTATTTACTCCCCTATCTAATGTCAGTATTCTATTTCTCTAGTTGTACCTGCTAGTTGATGGCCAGTGCATCTATCGAGGTACCATCAAGGCTTTGCTGCCATACTTCCAGGAACAGGGACTGGTGTGTCCCAACTACCACAACCCTGCTGATTATGGTAAGGACATGAACATGTGTTTATAGACATGGGCAGGTGTTTATGGACATGTGCAGGTGTTGGTTGTCTATTGTAAGGACTTGTGAAGGTGTTTATAGACATGGGCAGGTGTTTATGGACATGTGCAGGTGTTGGTTGTCTATTGTAAGGACTTGTGCAGGTGTTTATAGACATGGGCAGGTGTTTATGGACATGTGCAGGTGTTGGTTGTCTATTGTAAGGACTTGTGCAGGTGTTTATAGACATGGGCAGGTGTTTATGGACATGTACAGGTGTTTATTGACATATACAGGTGTTTATGGACATGTGCATGTGTTGGTTATCTATTGCAAGGACATGTGCAGGTTGTGTATGTTTATGTAAAGGTTACTGACCTCTCACTGTTGGACATAGGTGTTCACTGACCACTGGTGGACATAGTTTAAACATTGTAATTCAATGACCTCTTACTGACTACTGCCTTACTACGACTGACCATTCTCTTTGACCACTCTGACTGACCTCTTACTGACCACTGACTGGTGGACATAGTTGAAAAGTTGTAATTCACTGACCACTATCACTGACCACTATCACTGACAACTCTGATTTACTGTCTCTGACCACTGAATGACCACTTACTGACCACTCTGACTGACCATTGCAGTGATGGAGGTGGCAGCTGGAGAGTATGGTGAACAGAATGTGGTCATGTTGATCCAAGCACTCAATGAGGGCAAGTGTGACCAGGTGAGTGGCCTGCTCCTGCCTTCTGTTACACGTATAATCTGTATCATCTTTTGTAACAGTAGACATAACAGTAGCAGTATGTATAGGATACATGTATTCCATTTGGAATTGGTGGGTTACGGTTAAGAAACAGTAGCCTTGTTAAACATTTTGTAACAAAAAGCTAGTAGTTACAATTTTCTTTTTAGTAACACACATTCAGTCCATTGGTTCTCAATGTCTTATAGTGTCACCATTACAGTGGTTCTCAATGTCCTATAGTGTCACCATTACAATGGTTCTCAATGTCCTATAGTGTCACCATTACAATGGTTCTCAATGTCCTATAGTGTCACCATTACAATGGTTCTCAATGTCCTATAGTGTCACCATTCATTACAGTGGTTCTCAATGTCCTATAGTGTCACCATTCATTACAGTGGTTCTCAATGTCCCCAGGTGGAGACAGAGAGGCAGCAGTCTTGCAATGGGGCTCACCTGGCTTCACTGCACTCAACTGATGAAACGGCCACGCACGAGTCGGCCGTGCAACTCAACAAAATGGCCTCGGCCCAGTCGGGCGATGGCACCTCAGCAAACTGCGGTGACCGCAACAGTAAATCAGATGGCCGCCACTCCCCCTCCTGCCGGACCAATGGCGCCTGTTTCCCCCATCGGCACCAGGATGTAAGTGGAATATTTTGTAGCACGACGCGTGTCGTAGTTCTATGGTGTTGTTGCGTCTGTGGTTAAAGTGTTTTATGTGATGTTTACATACTAGAGATGACGTAGTGGTAAAACTGTCTTGATGTCAGTAACACTGGTAGTTGTCAGTGGCTGTTGTCAGACCCTGTCACTCACCTTAACTTGACATCTTAAAAAAATACAGTTGTCATTGTGTAAGATTTTTTAAAGTAAGTTATTCCTTTAAAAAATTAGTTATGTTGAAACTTCAATGTTTGTTTTTATATGACATAGTGACATATATTATTGTGACCAAAATTTGTGCTGTGGTGGCCTTATCTGCTTGACCTGGTGACCCACATTAAAATGGTTGAAGAGATAAAACTGTTTAACAAGAATACACATTTGATCTAGAATTATTTTTTTTACTTCTTTGCATCTTGTAATTCTCTCCCTTTTGTTTCCCCCTCTCTGTTGTGTCAACAGTCTGAAGATTCAGGGGAGGTTAGTCAGGTCATCCTGAGATTTTATTTTTATTTCTGCTTTCATTGTACACATGTACATGCTGCAGGAGGTAACAAGCTCAACATAAATGTGTACATGTTTGTGGTAGTCACTGTTCACATTGTGTACACATTCTACAACATGTACATAAGTTCAGATCCTTGACCGTGGAAACTGTGTACGCAATAAGCTTTGAGAAACTTGATATATTTCTATGTCATTCAGTGTTCATTTAGTGGCCACTGGATTTTAATTTTTCTTCTTTTTTTTATTGTCAACTACTAATCTAAAGATTACTTCAGCTATAAATGTTCACTCACCCCAGCACTAAATATCTTTTTACCCCTACACTTAAATGTCCACTTGCCTGAACACAGAATTGTCCACCTCAAAACACTATTTTCTATTTGACTAAATGTCCATTTACTCCCACACACAAAGGCCCTTATCCCCCACGCATTAAGTTTCAAATCCCCCAGATGTATAGGTCCATATCCCCCACACATAAAGGTCCATATACCCCCATGTAAAGGTCCATATCTCTCTACACATAAAGGTCCATATCCCCTATACATAAATGGCCATATCCCCCCATATATAGGTCCATATCCCCCACACATAAAGGTCCATATCCCCCACACATAAAGGTCCATATCCCCCCATATATAGGTCCATATCCCCCACACATAAACCCCCAACACCATGTTCTATCTGTCAACTGCACATGTCCTCTGATGCACTAAATGTCCACACACCACCCCCACATGTCAATGTCCCCCCCCCCACCAACACCACTGTGTGTTGACCAGTGGTCAGTAGCTGCACTAATGTTTCCCTTCTGTCACCACAGCAAGGAGAGAGTTGTGAGGTTAGTCAGCATGAGATAACCATCTATAGAGATGATGATTTCCTGGTAATTGTGGCCACATTTTTTTCTCTCTCCTCTCTATCTCTCATCAATTTATTTGCTGGAGTTGTGCATGCAGGTCAGCTATACTCAGGGATTAAAGGATCAGTACTCACCAATTAACAAAATGCTACTCAAGTCAATTAAGCTCATTTAATTAAGTTCTATAAATATCTTTATTGAAAAAAAAAATTCAAATACATTTTTTAAGGCATGACTTCATACAATTTTCTTTCACGCAAGAGAGATAATGCAGAGTCTACTCCAGTAATAAACCAGCAGTTCCTGTGTCTGCTAGTCTCCCCTGCTTTGCTTGTGTGTGCCCCCCTATGGTGCTACATGTTGTGTTCTTTGGAGGAAAAAAAATGTTTCAAAATTGATTTAAATATTTTTATAATGAATTTCATTTTCATTCTTTTTAAAAATCAAATCATAATTTAAAAAATAATTTTTTAAAAAGGCTTAAGCAAAAATTATTCTGTATGTGCTTGAAGGTTTGAACTTTTGTTTAAAGTAGATGAATGTTGTCAGCCTATAATCCAGAACATATTTTTATACCTGGAGCTTGTTGTCATCATTTTAAAATATGTGCTTTCTGTTTCTTGAACCTCTCACCTGTGTCCTCATGTTGATGCTAGGGGTGGAGGGGGGGATTGTCTACAGCCACAGGCAGGGGTGCTAATACAGGGGTCCTCATGTTGATGCTAAGGAGGGTTGGGGGGGGGTCTTCAGCCAAAGGCCAGGGTGTGTCTAATACAGGGATCAGCAACCTTTGCTACGGAACCGTGTGCAGCATTTTAAATTATTCATCACATCTATTTGCATTAGCAAATTCAAAGTTTTTGCTAAGAAACAAGTGAGAATTATAACTATTATTAACAAAATCCATTTTTTTTTCAATTTTTTTTTTAAATTTTATTCAATGTGTAAAATTTGAAAAATAAATTTTTAGTGCAGGCTCTTAAATATTTCTTAACAGAAGAAATACATTAGGAAATGGCTTTTGGATCCTAAAATGTTGCTAACCCATGATTTAAGATGACTGATATGTCCTGAATGTCTGATGCTAGTGTCTAAGACAAGCCCAGGATGTGTCAAGTCGCTGGACATTACCCCCAGACAATTACCTCCTGGTCATCTCTTGTCTTTCTCACCAGATCAACTAACCAGAACCCCCCCCCCCCCCCCCCCCAAAAAAAAAAAAAACAACTGCAGAATTAATCCCACCCTCTGGGAAGATTACTAATTTTCCCTACATGTAATAAGGATAGGGTTAGAATTAGGATTATTTATGTACAAGGATACATTAAGTAAAAGTTAGGGATAAGGTTTGAAATATCAAAATCGATTGGGATATGTATAGGTATAATACGTATTCTCATGGGGGTAATTGACCAGGAGAGGGGTGGGGTAATGTCCTATACCTAGATCACACAAGTTGTCTGATGCATCAGCTGACTGTACAAAGGCTTATTTCTATATTGACTTGTACCCTACAGCAGTTATCCTCATGCTTTCAATACATTCAGTGGATGGTTCTATCTACAAGCAAGGCTGATGATTATAATCCTAGTGTAAACTTTGTGAATGTGGGCATGCAAATGTAACTTGTATATAAGAAGAACATATTCAAGAGACTATCATAATGATTGAGATTGTGGTGGGTGGATGTATCAAAACTCTTAATTTAATTGTGCTTATCCTTACATTCTAGAAGTGAATTCCCCTTTTTATTAATACAAGTTATTTACTCCTCCTTATTTAAGGTAATTAAATTTGACCTATTCTATTAAAGTAGATAACCTCCCCTGTTTGAAGCCTGAGTTCTCCCCCTTGTGCCACCTTGAGTTGCTGCAGGTCAGGGTAACTTTGATGTTGTAGTTCACTCCAGAGTTCTGTCACTAACAGCTAACATTCACACGTGAAGGAAAACTTTCCCTCCTACATTGTGGGCCAAGTTATTTTTACTTGTTATTTTAATGTTGTCTTTGTTGCTACCAACATGCAGCTACACACAGAAAAAAGTTATATACAAGATAATTGAACTTAACACTTTGTTTTTTAACAATTTTTTTTACTCATTCTTTTTGTAGTTTATATAACGTTAATAACTATTTTAAAAAAAAAAATTGTTTCCCAAATAATGTTGGTTAATAATTTTAAATTTTAAATATTTTTCTATTTTAGTTTTTATAGTTATTATTATCATTATTATTTTAATTTTTAGTTATAATAATATTTATTATTATTGTTATTATTATTATTATTATTATTATTATTATTATTATTATTATTATTATTATTATTATTATTATTATTATTATTCCACTTATAAACAACATTAAATAGTATTTTAAAATTATTTTGGTAGTTCTTTTTATCCTACTTGCTCTGGTCACATCGTAGCACTATCACAGTAGAGTACTGACAGTGTTAAAAGTTTGGCTTTTGGACCAACTAGTTAACAGATGTCTTTTCTATTCCTCTTTAAGAACTGATTGAGATTTGGTTATGCTGAGAGTCAACTATACACTATAATTTAACATGACTTACTATAAAATAATGGAGACAGTAAATACAAGCTTGCTGTGTTTATATTCTGTTGATAATTTTCTCCAACACGGAAGAGATGAGTGTTCTAATCTCTTGATCTCTTGTCCCCAGGACTTTCCCCCTGACCAGGATTGTCACACCTTCAACACCAGCTGTCTGACACAGTTCAGGGTGCTGTTTATACGCACGTTCATGTCCATAGTACGAGATGCCGTAAGTTTGCCTGCAATCTTTAGAGGACAGTACTTCAATAACTGACAGCTTTAAGTTATATTTAGTAGATGTCTGTTATGTTTCTTAATATAAACAGCATAGGTTAAGAGTAGTCTTTAAATAAAAGTCAGAGAGGGCAATAAATTTGAACAAAAGGGGAAGCTACTCTAAACCTATGTTTAATGTTTGCAGTCATGACAATGTCATTAATTTTTTGAAGGCTGATGGACTTGTTTTTATTATGAAGATTGAGGCCCAATGATTTTTTAAGCTCAAAATAGAAAACATTATTTTGTCTCTTCATTTGTATAATATGTAATTGGGGTTGTGTTATTGGAGGAAAATTTTCATGGCCATTTTGTCCAAAAATTCTGGTAGACTTTAACATTGCATTCTGACATGAACTTAAAACAAAATAATTAAAAACTTAAATTATTACCTAGCTATAGACCTCACCAAGTTATGGCATGGTTGAGGGGTAGAACATATGATTGCTAACCTGAAAGGTTTGGTTTCAGTTCCTTGGTTTGAGTTAGGGCATTTTTTGAGTCAACAAAGCTGTGATGGGTACCTGATTCAGTTCAAGTGCTGACCAAACTATCCCTTCATGTGCATCAACCCAACAAACATATTATCTCTATCATCTATCCTATTTATGAACCGGACTTAACTTCATATTAATCTCATCACGTCAATTAATTTGTTATATATCTTGACCTAGACCTTGTTTTATAAAGCTCATGTCAATTAATTTGTTACACATCTTGACCCAGACCTTGACCCGTCTGCGCCTCATCTCCCACCTGACCGTGGGTATCCTCATTGGCTTGCTCTACCTGGGCATCGGCAATGAAGCGAGTAAAGTGTTCAACAATGCTGGCTGCCTTTTCTTCTGTATGCTTTTTCTTATGTTCACAGCCCTCATGCCTACAGTCTTGACATGTAAGTTGGTACAACTGGCACAACCAGAGCTCAAAATCTCATTCATTCTTAGGTTATCTGATGTAGCCAGATTTTTATGTTTTGTGATGAAATGAGCAAAATTTATTATTTCACCAACAATATAAAGTAAAAGAGCATTCTATGAATAAAATACTTAAAAAAAACTTTTTAAAAAACCACGTTTTTCTTGTGGACTAAAAAGTAGAAAATAACTATTTACATACATTTGATGACAAAAAACGTGGGTACGTTCACCATCAAATTTCCCGACCCATCTGCCCGACCCACGTTTTTTGTCATCAAATGTATGTAAATAGTTATTTTCTACTTTTTAGTCCACAAGAAAAACGTGGTTTTTTAAAAAGTTTTTTTTAAGTATTTTATTTTCTCCTTTTTAGTCCGTTGCTACACATGAAAAACGTGGTTTTTAAAAAGTTTTTTATATAGTTTATTTTCTACTTTATCTAATCACTTGATTAAGTATGACTTGACTAAGTGTTTTTAAATACACGGACTAAAAAAATCTTGAGCGACCGATACGCTTTAAACAGAGAAAGGGTGTAATTTACGTTGCTGGCGTGGAGATCTACTCACGAATCACGTGATCAAATCTCCCATAAACAAACAAATAAACGCGAAGCTGAGTTAAGGAAAAACGTGTTTATGTGTATTTTAGCATGCCCAGCGTACCAACCGTGTCACCGTTAACAATGTGTTACCGTGTCCGTTCTCCTTTTTAGTTGGTTTTTTTTTGGTTTTTTAAAAAGTTTTTTTTAAGTATTTTATTTTCTCCTTTTTAGTCCGTTGCTACACATGAAAAACGTGGTTTTTAAAAAAGTGTTTATAAATACACGGACTAAAAAAATCTTGAGCGACCAGGATTCGAACCTGGGTTGTCGCGGCCACAACGCGAAGTACTAACCACTATACGATCACGGCCAGCGCGCTCACATCGATTGGGGCCGAAGTAACTGTGTCAATAGGCCTCAAGTCTTGTCGGTATCTTTAGAAATCATGTCCACAATTTTATGGTCCTTGGGGCGTAATTAAATTAAGCTAATTATGGTCACTAATTGCTAGTTTTTATGATTGCATCTGAAATTGTTAGGCGAAAGTAGCCTGCCTGCCAAATTTCAGAGCTCTAGAGCAATCAGAAGTGGGTTAATTTTCGATGTCAATTTTAACAACAAACAAACAAACGCGAAGCTGAGTTAAGAAAAACGTTTTAAAAAATAATTTGTACTGAAGTCGCCAAAATAAAATTTAATAGCAGTCTGTCACCAAAATAAAAATGTAATAGCATTTAGACGCTAAAATACAATATAATGGCATTTACTATATGCACCAGTATAAAATATAATAGTATCGCCAAAGTAAAATGTAATATAGTTTTTTGTAAGTCACCTAAGTAAAATGTGATAGCCTTGCCTTCTATCCACAGTTCCAATAGAGATGACGGTGTTTGTGAGAGAACACCTGAACTATTGGTACAGTCTCAAGGCCTACTACCTGGCCAAGACCATGGCTGACATGCCTTTTCAGGTTGGTTGTACACCTGGCTAGTGGCTCACCTGGCTGGTCTGGCTAATTAATTATGGCAATTTGTGGAGCAGAGACTGAAGAAAGCCTACATTTATAATCTGCTATTGCACTAAGTGCTATACATGTGTAAACTGAACAGATGTTAAAAAATGAAAGAATTATATTAAAAAGATAGTTGTTTGACTTAGGTATATTTAAGCATAACTATTATGTTTAATTATGTCGAGATATTGAGGATTAAAGTATTACTTAGGCTACTTATATAAGTTGTCAGCTGGACACATCAATATCATATATGTAGTGTTTTGTGTTGGTAAAGTTATGGATTGTGAGTCTGGCTCTGTGGTTGGTCCTGGATAAGGGTCAGCCATAGTTAGGTCCTGGATAAGGGTCAGCCATAGTTAGGTCCTGGATAAGGGTCAGCCATAGTTAGGTCCTGGATAAAGGTCAGCCATAGTGTTGTCCTGGATAAAGGTCAGCCATAGTGTTGTCCTGGATAAGGGTCAGCCATAGTTAGTTCCTGGATAAGGGTCAGCCATAGTTAGGTCCTGGATAAGGGTCAGCCATAGTTAGGTCCTGGATAAAGGTCAGCCATAGTTAGGTCCTGGATAAAGGTCAGCCATAGTGTTGTCCTGGATAAAGGTCAGCCATAGTGTTGTCCTGGATAAGGGTCAGCCATAGTTAGGTCCTGGATCAGGGTCAGCCATAGTTAGGTCCTGGATAAGGGTCAGCCATAGTTAGGTCCTGGATAAAGGTCAGCCATAGTGTTGTCCTGGATAAAGGTCAGCCATAGTGTTGTCCTGGATAAGGGTCAGCCATAGGTCCTGGATAAGGGTCAGCCATAGTTAGGTCCTGGATAAAGGTCAGCCATAGTGTTGTCCTGGATAAAGGTCAGCCATAGTGTTGTCCTGGATAAGGGTCAGCCATAGTTAGGTCCTGGATAAAGGTCAGCCATAGTGTTAGGTCCTGGATAAGGGTCAGCCATAGTGTTGTCCTGGATAGGGTGGTGGTAAAAGCAAAACTTTGTGTCAGATATCTGACATTTGAATAAGTACCTAATAGAATAATTAAAAGTATCTGTTGATAGCTGATTGATTGGTTGTATCTGATAACTTATTGATTGGTTGTATCTGATAACTTATTGATTAGTTGTATCTAATAACTTATTGATTTGTATTTGTTAACTTATTGATTGGTTGTATCTGATAACTGTTGATACCTGATCATTACAGATCATCTTCTCACTGGTATATGGCAGTATTGTCTACTTCATGACGTCACAGCCAAATGACTTTATGAGGTTCGTCATGTTCCTGACCTTGTCAACACAGACGTCACTGGTGGCACAGAGCCTGGGGCTTTTAATAGGGGCAGCTACGTCACTGCAGGTAAGTCTACAGGTCAACTGATAGGTATTTTAGTCAAGGTAATTTGGCTCTACATAAGGGCTTTCAGATGTGAAAACAAAGGTAAAGTATCCTCCCAGATGTTATGGAGTTCATCTGTTTTTGTGATCGATGTGGTCATTGTTTCAAGTTCCCAGTCTTAAGAGCTGGGTGGATTAGAAACCTTCATCTGGTTCTCACAGAGATCTGAACTTGAGACTTTTAGATTAGCAGTTGTGTGCTCTACCAGCTGATCCAAGTGTTCTGTAAATAGGCTGAAATACACCCAAACAGCATTGTTGTCATCTTTAACAACTTTCAACATCTAAAAATAGTTTTTCTTTCAGCTTTTACCTAAGTTGGAATAAATACTTACATTAAAAGTTTCATTTAACAGTTAAAACTTACTATAATTAAATCAAAGGTTTTGTGTACCAAAACTTGGTATCCACTTGATATCCACACTCCCATCCACAGGTTGCGGTGTTCCTTGGTCCAGTGACGGCCATCCCTATCCTGCTATTCAGTGGATTCTTCGTCAACTTTGACACCATACCTGCCTACCTGCAGTGGCTCTCCTACATATCTTACATCAGGTCAGGCTTTAGACAGAAGTAACTTAACACCCACCAACCTTAACATTATTTGCTGAGCCTGCTATATATTTAGTATGTAAACAAACTCTATTAGAGTTTGCAAAAAAGTCTTTTAAAAACCTAGAAAAAGGCTAAAATTCAGTTTTGTAACTTTTTAAAAAGCAAGTAATTTTGACACACTTTCTTAACTCCCACCCCCCTCATCACTTATTGTCACAAAATTTTATCCCTTTCTCTTATTTACAAGGGGAATAACTTCTAATTTACAGTATAATTTCACTCTTTTACTTTGTCTATATTTAATTAAAATAGCATTAATTTTAACTTAATGAGCATGTTTTTATAATTTCTGCAGGTACTCATTTGAGGGGACTCTCCAGGCTATTTATGGTCTAGACCGGGGCGACCTGGATTGTGATGAGAACCACTGCATCTTCCGCCAGGGGACAGACGTCCTGCGGGAGATGGACGTGGAGGACGCCAGGTTCTACATAGACTTTATCGTTCTCTGCGGGTTCTTCGTGGTGCTGCGTGCGGGCTGTTACCTGGTCCTGAGGTGGCGGGTCAAGGCTCAGAGATGAGAACAAAAAAATTTTTCATCAGGATTTACGAGTTATCCATTGTGGATATTGTATAATAGTTGGATGTGCGTCCACTTTGTTTGGTGGATATGTGTTGGATTATGTCATGTTTGTACAGGAGTAATGATTCGTCTTCTCAACATGTCCGGCACTGAGGCTGGTCAGTGATTCCTGTACTGGAGTGGTCAGTAGTGCAGCTCTTTCTTTCAACCCACAGAGGTGGCTGGTAGCTTTATCTGTGTCATCATGTCAAGAAGTGTATAAAAACAAAACTTGTTACAGCATAGCAATTTCTAGTCTTTCTTGTGATCAAGTGAATGGCTTGTATTAATTTGTAATTTGTAAACTTTGGAGTGGTGTCCCTTGATGCACAAAAAAAAAACTTTCCTGAGTTTCAATTTTTGTGGAATTTTTAAAATGACACGGAAAGAAGAGTGATTTAACCCAGGGTAATAACAAATTGTGTTTTTACTCAAGAAATTTTTAAAAATTCAAAATGAGATTATGTTTTTATGGAATTTGTTTCAAAGAAAATAGAATACGTAATTGAACCCGTGGTTAAAACAATGTTTTTACCAAACATATGTGCAATATGTTCTTCTTAAAGCAAGAACATACAAATATTCTAATACGGGAACGCATGCAAATATAAAGACTTTAGTTTTACTTAGAAAATTTTGTTCAAAGTTTATGTTGATTTGTTTTTATCCAACTGTATTTTTGTTTTATTGCTGCTGGTCTAAATATACATAGGCTCAACTCTAGACACACACAAACACTGACATCTGATGTCATATAACAAATGTCATAAAGATGATGTTGTACGGTTGATGTCACAGATTTGATGACATACAGTTGTTGTTGTCATGTGTAATGACATGGTTGATGTCATAAGTTTGAAACTAAAGCTTTACAACTTGTTTAATCATTATTTCTTCTGCCATATCTTTTGTTTTCCCAGTTTCTCTATCACACCACTTCAGCTTTCTCGCTTTCCATTTTTTTTGCTGCATCAAGTTGCCATAGAAAATTAAATTTTTCATTTATTTGCCTTTCTAAAATTCATGAAATTACACTATAATATTTCGTTGTATTTCTTGAAAACTAAAGAGAAATCTTACAGTAAAGTTTTCAACTTTGACCTTCACCAAACAAGGCCACTGTAAATATTTGTACAGTATATTTCTTCCCTATTTCAAACTTTGATTCCTGTTGTTTTGTTGAATGACAGATATGGCAGTGAACATTTGTCCCATCCAGCTTCAATGCCTAGATGTAATATACTTTCTTATTACTGTAAACCTACCATTAGTACTATGTAACATTATTTTTATTATCGTTCATGATTCAGCAGTTCTGGTATTTACATGAAATAATTTTTTTTACTGCAGTGGACTGGTCAAATGTTGTTGACAGTTTATTTGTAAGTCTCAGGTATCATGACATACTCATTAGAACAGCTCTGGTTCACCCCTCGGTGTTGGAGCTGTTCATTTTATCCTGCTCACACCTCACTTCACACCAAAATTCATGTGGAAATCACGTGAGATATTGACAGGGTTAAATTATTATTTTTTTGTTGTTAAGAATGAAAAATCACATTTTTTAAAAATTTGTTGTTGTTAAGGTTGTTTTTTAAAATGTGTTTTAAAGTAGAGCCTGTCCTGATACCCTGTAAAACAATGTGTTTTTTAGTGTAGGTTCTTTCATTCGGTGTATTTTAATGCAAGTCCTTTCCTGATTAGATTTGATAAGCCAGGGTAGGATGTTCTTGTCTCAAGCTTGTTCTAGCATTACATGGGTGGGGCTGGCTCTACAGGGGGTAAAAACCTCATGTCATAGCTTGTTGTTGGTTTTATCTTTCAACTTTCTGCATTTGATCTTCAATGTGTTCCTACGCTACTGTGTACTTCACTTCATGACCAAGTTGACTTGACAGTCCTTCAGTGACTGAGTCTTTGACTCATAAAATTGACAGTCATACATTGTGACAAGACTTTGACCCATAAAATTGACAGTGTAACATTTTGACAAGACCTTGACACAAGGACACGACAGCCCTACATTTTGACAGTTTAATATAATGACAGCTTTACGCCATATTTCCATGCTGTTTCAAGTCATTCAGTCTCTTCCTGGGACAGTGGCTAAACTCCCTTGACCACCAAAGTGGCATAACTCATCTGGTCACTTCCCCCAATTGGTCCCAATTTTTTGTAAATAAAATGTTTGTCTCTAGTGCAAAATGTTAATATTTATCTCTAAAAGAAAACGTTAATGTTTGTCTCTAGTGCAAAATGTTAATATTTATCTCTAAAAGAAAATGTTAATGTTTGTCTCTAGTGCAAAATGTGAATATTTGTATTCAAGCACAAGACCAGAAATGTTTACTTCTCCATCAGTTACTGTACCCAGCACAAATGATTGTTTTATTCTGTGCATTATGTTATACATGAACTGATGACGTTATTCAGCCTCTGCTGATTGTTTTTTTTTAAGGCTGTTGTTTTAATTTTTTCATCTAGCTCCTGAAGTTTTTTTTTGTTTTGTTCAGCTACTGATGATAAATTTAATGGCTGTTTTTTTTTTTTTTTTTAAACTAATGGCTGTGTTGTTTACCTTTTGATTTTACTGTCTGCCTGCTCCTTGTTAAGCTTGTGTTCTTTCCCCTTGGTCAGTCACATACAGACCCAAGCTCAGGGGGTCAGTGTTCGTTGTCTCCCTCTTAGGTAACCATAGCAACAGCTCTCTTATCCCTCCAAGATTTGAAGGTCATGACACGTGCACACAGTATTGAATGACATTATCACATGTCTATCAAAATCAAATTCATTACATTTTAATGCTTCCATTCTGTTCATCATGACTAAATGTGTTAGGAGTTTTATTTTATCAGCTTGAAGCTACCAAATGTTACTCCTAGCTTCTGTTTAAATCATTTTTACTGTGTTCAAATACACCATGTTTTTTATATCTTATTTTCAGAGCTAATAATAATAGAACAAAATGCATACTGTTGATACATTTTTTATTTCTGAATAGATTAAATTTAAAAAAAAAAAAACAGCAAAATTATTAGTATAAATATTAGAATTGGCAACATACATTTAAAAAACCTGGCAAGCTGAATTTAGTACAGCTGAGTGGTGATATCCTGATATTTATTTGTTACATTATTTTTCCTTAGCTGGCACATGTGCTTCCCTTAATTTTTCAATGTTTTTCTTCAGTTGCATTTCTTTTTTTAAACAGCCATAGTGGCATTTGTGCAACACTCAATGCAATTTTTATAACAACTTCCTCATAGTGTGGTGTGTTGTATAATGTGTCCTGTGCTGGTAGCTAGAGGTAAAGTTGTGCACATTTTATTTTACTTGTTTAGAACAAGTTATATATGGGAGATAATGACAGAACAAAACAATAGTAAGTTATATATGGGAGATAACTGCATGCCTGGTATGTTAGATGTGACTATTTTGTTAGTTTTTTTTATTTAGTCTGCGCTGATGTTTATGATCAAAAGGGTTAAGGGGCATTATGTGTATCCATAGCTTTGTGTTATATCATCCATATAGCCTTATTATATCATTTAAACTTGACATTTGTCCGTGTCAATGTTCAATGCTATCTGGGGACATGACTTTCCTAGCCGGTGTTTTGTTGCTGTTGGTGTTTTGTTGCTGTTAACGGTAACTAAAAAAAAATCTTTTTTTTTTTTTTAGAATTTTTTTAAAATTTTAATTTATTGATTTAAAAAAAAATTTATGAACAGTAAGACATAATAGTGATTAATCATTTTAACAAAATATTTGGTACATTTTTAGATGCTTTTGGTAAATAGCGAGACCATCTTCTTACAACTTACTACAAGACTTGTCATGTAGACTATGTGTTATCTCTCATCAGTTCATGTAATGATTGGCTTAAAGAGTTGAGTAAGTGGCGTGCCCCCAACTGGCAAACATCAGCAGATTTTGTGATAAAATCAACTATGCTGTTATAACTTTTATATAAAATCAACAATGCTGTTACAATTTTTATATAAAATCAACAATGCTGTTATAATTTTTATTTATTATTTTAAACGCGACTGCAGATTTCTGTAGTTTTACTTGGTTTTTATCGTAAAGTACATTAGCAGATGAATGTCTTTTTTCTTATGTCTCAGTGTTTGTATACTTGATGATGGTTGGTTGAGTTTTCTAAAGATGAATCTAGTCATAGCTGATGTCTTTTTGAATTGTATTTATATCAAGCATTATCACCCGCTGTTTTTAGCTCTTTTTTTTTCTGCTTTGTTGGGTTATTTTTTGTTTTTATTTGGTGATGTAATTGTTGTATTGTGGAAACAGTGTGAGTGTGTGTGCCATTGTACTATTTTGTGTTGAACTAAGCTTTGTTAACGTCTCTCATCAGATCTCAATCTGCCAGTATTGATCAAACACAATCATGTAAAAGTTATGTCCCTTGTTTTAAGTTTAGATATATTTTCTTGTCACCATCGGCAACAGTTGAATGGTTCACGTAACAACAAAGTTGTGTTAAAATCAACAACTGGTGTATTTTTTAAAAAAATGACCAAATTTTTATTTCAGTTGTCAAGAATTAAAACTTGACAAGCCTTCCTGTGCCAACTTGCTTTAGTAATTTTTATTTGTCCCTGCAGTTGTTTGTAAAAGCTGACTTGTGTAGGTTATCTCCCCTGCCTTATTAGTTCTCATGCATTCACCTGTAGAAAATGGTTACAAATAATTTATGTATTGTTACAAAATGTATGTATTTTTTATCTGTTTGTTACCATCTATCTGGTCATTGTGTTTATACATTACAATGCGAACTTGTAGGCTGTGTAATTTGTTCTGTTGCCATGGCAACATTGTTTACCTTCAGCTTGCATCAGCACCACACATATTTGCATGTTAGGGTTTAGGTTATAGGGAACATAAGATGTTTACCAGCTAGTTTAAGTCAGTAAATGTTAGGGTTTAGGTTATAGCTACTCTCAGATGGTTAGTAGTTTATCCAACCATTTTTCTTCATCAAATAAACAAATGTTAAAAATTTTCATGATGCAAATGTTGACTTTCTATCATGTAAACAAGTCCTGTAGTCTCTCCCTTACAAGAGTAACATTATCAGTTTGTTTGGGACAACTAAACGGTAGTCTGCAACCCTAAGCATTGTGGATGAAGGCCTTAGGTTGAAACATCTGGGTTTTTTTTTTTCATCTACAGAACTTAAACAATATTTTAATCTAGCTGTTAACTTTAAAGCAGATGGCTTTACTTGACCCATTTGTTTATTTTCTCAGAAGTGAGTGTAAGCTTTAAATGGCCAAGACTTTCTGTAATTTAATTTAGGTGACAGAATGTTAAAGTTATTTTTTTATCAATCTAAGTTGAATGTGGGTGGTGTCAACGACAAGCAGTTCACCCTGGTAGAGTTGGTGGTGTTGTGGTTGGTGGTGGTGTGGTTGGTGCATGGTATTTTACTTTAGCTGACAGTGTTGCTTGCTTGATTCATTGTGATAGACAGACAGTGGTTATTGCCTACATGTTGCTGAACTGTTTACAGAACCCACCAGGCACATGTTGCTGAACTAATGATTTCACATCCTACCAGGCACATGTTGCTGAACTAAAGATTTCAGAATCTGCCTGGCACATGTTGCTGAACTAAAGATTTCAGAAACTGCTTGGCACATGTTGCTGAATTAAAGATTTCACAACCTACTAGGCACATGTTGCTGAACTAATGATTTGAGAACCTGCTTGGCACAAGTTGCAGAACTATTTTCACAACGTACAAGGCACATGTTGCTGAACTGTTTTCCGAACTGAATGGCAAAACCCTTACAGCAGATACCAGAAAGAGTTTATTCAGTTTTCCAATGCCTGTGACTATTTTGTTGTCCTTTTATCACTCACAACAGTATTAGTAACTTTGTATTTTGCTCCAACGCTGGAAAAATAATAATTTATAATTGTACTTCCACTTTAAGTTAAAAATTGTACATGAGCCTTTTATTTAAACTTTTTTTTTTAACTTGTAGTAAATACTTTCATTATGTATATAAATAGGTCGATCACTCACACTAATAGATAGCACAACACTGTTACATTTGTCTATGGTTCTTTAACAAACACTCAAATGTAGCAGTGCTTTATCTTGACATTTAAACTCATTTTGACCAACTTTATGATATTGAACAACACCCTATCAACCTGAAAAAAAGTTTATAAATCTTTCAAATTATATTATCTCCCTTCTTAGTGTTGAAGCTGAAACATTATCTACCCCTACTCTTTTGCTTGAAGAGGGCATTGTAAATATAATTGTTTGTATATCTTCTTCGATAAAAGTATTTGTTCCTCTGAAATAATCAGTTTCATCTGTCATTTTAAAAAATAAATAAAAGAATAAATGTTAAAAGTAAAAACTTTGTTTGTGATTACTTCACTTTCTCAATGGTTTTTTTTCCCCATACAATCTCACTCATACTTTAAAACAAGTTAATAAGTCTAGTGACAATTTAAGCGCAATTTCCTTAATTAATTTTTTGTGACCGAACGAAAGGATATTTTTGAAAACTTTCTTCAGCAATATTGTTCTAAATTATGGCAGGAATCGATTGGTAAATGTTTCAAGTCGCTAAGTGGTCTGGTTGCCGAGATATGGGCCAAAAACTGCATTTTTTTTTTAGGTTTTTTGGCTTTTCCGGGAAATCCAGGAAGGAATTCCGGGAATTTTTTTGGCCCACAATCATCCTCGGAACTTGCTTAACATATTTGCTTTTGGAACTAGTCCTCGATATTGCTTCGTTGAGGAGGAGATACGACTTAAAGCTGCGGAAACACATTGGACACACATCCATCCAGAACGAGTTAATAATCGCAATTGTCCGTATGGAAATTGCGCTAAAAAATGAAAACTCTGAATTGAGTGATTTTATTTATTTTTAAAAACAATGGACTGTTAAAAAAATATAGGTGACAAAATACATACAAAAATGTTAAAATATAAGTAGCTCCAAACCTGTTAATATCATAGAATGGAATGACGACACTTCCTTGCTAGTGTCACAAAAAATTGCTAGTCATAAGTACAAATAGTTTGCTGCATGATTTTTTTTTTCTAATCTATCACTTTTAAGGCATCTCAGCAGTTGGGTTTCAATGTTTGCAAACATCAAAAATATATAGATCTACTTCGAAATAATTCTAGCCCAGAGAGGTATTTTTATCAGCCATTTAAAATATTAACTTGCCTAAAATATTTTTTTATGTTGAGTTATCAAATTTAAACATATTAGTCCTACATAACTGCTGCGTAAAACATTTCATTCATAAATCTTTAAATATAAATATTTCAACATACAATACCCCATAACCATCATGTATTAATTAGAGAATATTTTGTATATGATTAGTAGCTTTATAATAAATATATATTTTATTTATTTACACATATTATTACTTCATTTCAACAAGAGTAAGAAAAATGTAGATTATTCTGCTGCAGATTTAGGAACATGTAACAAGAAAATTTAAAAATCAATACCGCAAACAAATCCATAAGTTTAAACTGTCTGGCCTCTCCTGTCAAGATGGAAGTAATTTCACTGTTTAGTCAACAAGACATTTTGTGTGCAAGAGTAGGTCAGATAAATTAAATTGGGTCAGCTACATACAAGTAGGTCAGTGTATAACAGCTGAGTACAAGAAAAGAAGTTCAGGTGAATTAATTAGGTCATCTGGGTACATGAAGGTCAGCTTTGTAAAAGAGAAGGTCAATATCTGATATGGTTTAGAAAGGGAGGATCAATTAAAAATATTTTATTTTATAAAACACTGTCTTGACAGCAAACATAGTGTGACTAGTAATCATGTGAAACAATCGTGATTTTTTTTTTATTATTATATAATTTTTTAAAAGTTAAGCACTAATTTATTTTGTTACACAATACATATAATACAGATAACTTTTAACATTATTCAAATAAAGTTAACACAAACAGTAAAACTCTGGTCACAAGAAAATTTGTTTTATATACAAGTGCCAACTGATTGAAAGAAAAAATTTTGTGAAGTGTTCTAATTGCTTTGAGTCTTTTGTTTAAAAAATCTTGTGTAAAAATCAACAAGCTAAGTATTTTATATACAATTTTTAAAATATTTTAAACTGCTCACTGAAAATGTATCAAGAGAAAATATTAAAATGTTTAGCTTCAGGTTTGCTTTTTAATTTCAACTCAATAAAAACCAATTGCTTCTCTTCAGTTAAAAATTTGTTTAAAAATCTACCTATTTGCAACACAATTTTAGAATAATGATTTTAAAACTGTACACTTTTAAAAAATATTTTCCACTAAATAATTCAGTGAATTGTTCATAAAAATGAAAGTATGGAAATAATAAATTAGGTAGCAACAGAGTATTAATTTTTAAAAATATTGTTGTAAATGATACACAGTTCTTTAAATTAGGAGATAAAAATTATATATTAATGAGCTGAAAATATTTAATTTAAAAAAATGTTTAATACTTTCTCAGGTTAAAAAATGTTTAACACATTTTCAGTTCAAGAAATATCTTTATTAGAATCTGACTAGATAAGTTCAGAAATAACTGATTGTTTTATAAGGGGAGTGAACTCTGGCTTATTACCAGGAAAAATGTACAGCAGGTGGCTATTATGTTCAATCATAAGGGGGAAAACTGACAAGAATTTTTGGTAATAAATAATTGATCAGTGCAAGACACCTGTTCACAGGTAAATACATGACTTGTCAGTACAACTGACATTTCTCTTACTTTAACCAACATGAAAAAACAATATTAGGCTTTACGTTGTTAGAAATAAGACCGTTACATCATTTTGAGGTATAGCCCTTTCTGATGCTTACATGCAGACATTTTAAAGAACATTATAAACGCGAGTCAACACATAACAACAAATCCATACATTCACTGAAAGGACCAGCCCCCAAAATTAAAAACCTTCTTTGTCAATATAAAAATTTTAATGGAAGAAAGGTATTGGTAATATTAGCTCTTTTTTTTTTTTAAATTGTAGAGCTGCCAATACATAAGACATTTTGGAAATAAAATTCTAAAATCAGAGTAGCAAAACCACTGACACCTTTTAAAAAAAGAATGATGAAGGTTGCTTAAAATTGTTTCAAAGTTGCCATGTTTTTTTAAACAATTCAGTTGGCTGAAAAATTTTATTACAGAGACTTTAGAGACAGAGCCCATGAGGCAAGAAACATTTTCAATTTATATATACATGTTATTACAGTAAATTTTAAGTATTGTTAAAAATATACCTCATTATTCAAAAACTAGCTACAGTAAACACTTCATTTATTTACACACAAAAATTCTTCTTAAAAGTATTTTATCTTCTCCAAAAAAGTGACAATTTTTTTTTACAATTATGACATGTGACATCATTATGATATAGTGATTATGTATGTAAGCAATAGAAAACCTTAAAAAAATGTATATACAAAACAGAATTATGGCTAATTTATATAGCCAATATCACTGCGGTCCACACAGAGGTAGAGGATGGATGAGATCAGGGACATGCCAGCGGCGCCTACAGCCACCCAAAAACTCCAGCCAAACATCTTCTGTTTGTCACTGCTGTCCTCTGCTACCACGGTGTAGCCGTAGTCCATGTAGCCTTTAGCTCCAAACACACAGACCGACGCAGTCACCAGCATGACTAGACAAGTAGAGATAAGTATGGTCTTAATCATTTTACCAGCAGAACTATAAAGTTGAGAAAAGTTTTAATTTAATAATTATACGAGTAAAATATTCAAAAGGGGAAAAGTATTATTTTAAAATGTATACCAGCATTAATAGACAATATATACTAACATATGCAGTTGGGGGGGGGGGGGGGAATCTTTTTTGTACCAGTTATAATTAACAAATGAGGAAAAATAACATGATCTTTATAGAGTCTCCAGCAAAACTTGGCATAAATAGAAAAATATTTTTATATAGTCCCCAGCATAACTTGGTAAGAAGAAAAATAATATGATCTTCATATAGTCAGTAACAAGGAAGGGGAGAGGGGGAATGTTCCTAAGAAAAGTAGGTCAAGTATCCTTTCAAGTAGTGTTGGTGCCAGGGAGGCTGCTGAAGCAGACGTGTATTGCTGACAGACCCTTACTGCTGATGTCAACTGGCATGTATAGATGCCAGTATTTACTTTTTTAACTTGTCGAACATTAGACAATAAGCAGGATAGATCCAGTGAGGCTAAGTCAGGTTTAAACCTACGTCTAACACTGTGCAGGGGATGGTGTGGCCTACAAGTAGAGCACTAGACTGCTAACCCGAAGGTATCATGTTTGAATCTGGGCGCAAGTCAGTAGACCGTCCTTGATTCAACCCAGTTGTGATGGGTACATAACTCATGTTAGGAAAAGTAAAGGTGGCTTGCATAGTGCTGACCACACTATCCTTTCATATGCGGAGGTCACACAACCACCTAACCACACCATCTTAAGAGTTCCCAAAAAATGCGAAAATGAAAAACTGAGCATACAGAAAAATGCGTTAATCTAAACCAATTATATTAATACATCTTAATTTTTGTCATATTTCGTTGAAAAATGTTTTATTATGCTACAATGTACATGTTGTCATTCTTTGACAGTGTCTATTAATGCTAGATTTAAGAAAACAAAAATGCCCTGGAGTTGAGTGGAATTTAAAAAAAGGGTTCACAGAAGTTGTATCTCAGCAAATATCACAGTAATTGTGCAAGTTTCCATTGAATGGTTTCATTTCTTTGATATTGTCTTACATGTACTTACATGTAAGGAAAACAAATGTAATGGCTGTCACATGTACTTACATGTAAGGAAAACAAATGTAATGGCTGTCACATGTACTTACATGTAAGGAAAACAAATGTAATGGCTGTCACGTGTACTTACATGTAAGGAAAACAAATGTAATGGCTGTCACATGTACTTACATGTAAGGAAAACAAATGTAATGGCTGTCACATGTACTTACATGTAAGGAAAACAAATGTAATGGCTGTCACATGTACTTACATGTAAGGAAAACAAATGTAATGGCTGTCACATGTACTTACATGTAAGGAAAACAAATGTAATTGTTGTCACATGTACTTACAAGTAAGGAAAACAAATGTGATGGCTGTCACATGTACTTACATGTAAGGAAAACAAATGTAATGGCTGTCACATGTACTTACATGTAAGGAAAACAAATGTAATGGCTGTCACATGTACTTACATGTAAGGAAAACAAATGTAATGGCTGTCACATGTACTTACATGTAAGGAAAACAAATGTAATGGCTGTCACATGTACTTACAAGTAAGGAAAACAAATGTAATGGCTGTCACATGTACTTACATGTAAGGAAAACAAATGTAATGGCTGTCACATGTACTTACATGTAAGGAAAACAAATGTAATGGCTGTCACATGTACTTACATGTAAGGAAAACAAATGTAATGGCTGCCTGGTGTGGGCTGCAGTGTTTACATGAGCAGCAAAGAGAGAAGAGACCAATGATCAAAGCTATCAGACTGGTGGCTATGGAGCAGGTCATCAGGCCTTGGACTGCTTTGAACCAGTCTGTAACAGTAAAAAAACATGGTTATTACTGTCTTATTCAAGTCTGTAACAGTAAAAAAACATGGCTAAATATGGCTGTCTTATTCCAGTTTGTAACAGTAAAAAAACATGGTTAAATATGGCTGTCTACACCAGTCTGTAACAGTAAAAAAACACGGCTAAATATGGTTGTCTTATTCCAGTCTGTAACAGTAAAAAAACATGGTTATTACTGTCTTATTCAAGTCAGTAACAGTAAAAAAAACATGGCTAAATATGGCTGTATACACCAGTCTGTAACAGTAAAAAAAACATGACTAAATATGGCTGTCTACACCAGTCTGTAACAGTAAAAAAAAGATGGCTAAATATGGCTGTCTACACCATTCTGTAACAGTAAAAAAACAAGTGTAAAACAATAACTGTTTTTAACCAGTACACCTGAGAAAAAGTACAAAAACAAGTCTTTATTTTAATGTATTAAACCAGTCTATGTAAGTAAAAAAACAACAGAACAATGTTAAATTTTAAAGAAACAGTTTTAAAAAACAAAAATAAATTAAGATGTATTACTGCCAATGTAAAAAAAAATATAATTCGAAAATAAAAAATGTCTTTAAATTACATTTTTAAGCAGCTTAAAATATATTAATTTGTAGTAGATATGGTTAAAATTTTATGCGATTTATGTAAAAATTGATTGAATAATCTCTATTGAGTGATTCTATTATAAGAATTTTCTAGTGGCTAAGTTGCTTAATACCACTTAGCACAAGAAACCAGCTGTACACATGTAGATCTAATATTAAAGATTAAGAACTCTAGCATGAAGTCTAAGATCAACCTTTGTAACAGTACAATTCTATTTTCAGCATAAACTTGTGTACAGTGTAACTCATGAAGAGATTAGGGGGAGGGGAGAAAACTCTCAGTGGTAAGTCAACACTGTGGATAGATTTGCTTGGTGCCAGGACCTTTGACCTTTCCTGGTGTAAGGACAGTTTGTTTTCTTAGTCAGGGCAGTGCTGTGTTGCAGTCATGTGAAACATGACATCAGTCATGTGGCATACTGCATCAGTCACGTGACATACAGCATCAGTCATGTCACATGGCATACAGCATCAGTCACATGGCATACAGCATCAGTCATGTGACATACAGCATCAGTCACGTGACATACAGCATCAGTCATGTCACATGGCATACAGCATCAGTCATATGGCAGACTACATCAGTCATGTGCCAAACAGCATCAGTCATATGGCAGACTACATCAGTCATGTGCCAAAGAGCATCAGTCATATGGCAGACTACATCAGTCATGTGCCAAACAGCATCAGTCACATGGCAGACTACATCAGTCATGTGCCAAACAGCATCAGTCATATGGCAGACTACATCAGTCATGTGCCAAACAGCATCAGTCACATTGCAGACTACATCAGTCATGTGCCAAACAGCATCAGTCACATGGCATACAGCATCAGTCAAGTGGTATACAACATCAGTCAAGTGGCAGACTGCATCAGTCATATGGTAAACAGCATCAAACAGTACCTACAACTACTTAAAGTACCATTCACTTTTCCACTTTAAAAATTATGACGGGGTGGGGGGGGGGGGGGGGGGAGGAGAGGTTAGTAGGATGGTAACCAGTGGTCTGATTAAAATAAAAGATAAACTTGTTTTTTTCACACCAGGACCTTGAAATGTATTTAGCCTTTAGTTCCGGTAGACCAAACAATAAACTTAATAAACAAACTTAACAATTAACATATAGATCTATATACACTCATACACACACAGATATAGCATCTTGGTAAAAAGTTAAACGTTTACGTGTAGCCAAGGACTGAACCTTTTTATTCCAGTTCTGTGTAGCGCGGCATTTAGCCTGCTCACAAATCAAGCCTTCCCCCCCCCCCCCCCCCCCCACCCCTAAGCACTGTTAAATTAACATCTTCAAAGGATTCAAACGTTCAGGCGAGAGTGGCTTGAGGTGGCGTGAAATGAAACAATAAATCTGGCAACCTCACGTCACGAATTTTACCTACGGTTTCATGCCTTTTTTACTTTCTCGTATATACGTAGTATAGAGAAAGTATTGTAATCGTGCAAAAAAAAATCGAGATTTTTACAAATCTCGACGTTTTACACCTCACTGATACGGAAAAACATACTTTTGCAATCTTGTCCGTATGTCTGTGTGTGTGTGTGTGTGTGTGTGTGTCTGTGTGTCCGTGTGTAAACACGATAACTTGAGTACCGTTACTGCTAGGTTGATGAAATTTCATATATAAGTATTTTATCAAAATCGTAGATCCGTATCAACTTTTGAGCGATTTCCGATAACCGGAAGTGGTACTTTTTCTACTTTGAATTTTTCAAAAGCCTATAACTTGAGTACTATTTCAGATAGATAAATGAAATTTCACATGTAAGTAAAAGATTTAATTCTCTACCTTCTGTTAAATTTTGAGTAATTTCCGTTGACCGGAAGTAGTAATTTACGCTACTTCCGATTTCTCAAAAAACTAATGTAAATTTTAAAAGTACTAATAATATTGCGCACTATTATGCGCTTTTTTATTTCGCGTTCACTTGGTGTGCAATTAATTTGTCTACGAGATTTTATTCTATTTTTAAAACTTTAAGTATTTAAAATGGATTAAAAATCATGTCTATAGCCCGAGTTCCCATCCCCTGTTATTTTATATTAAAATATTCGAGAAAGTTTAGGGGAGATCACTCCCGGTTTATTTTATTTTTAAATGCGGCGATTACTTTTTATGGAAAAAAAAATAATACATTTTAACCAGATTTCGTTATTTTTTTAAAAATAGATCTAGAGTTGAGGTAGAGAAGCAAGCTTTTTTTATTTCTTCTATGATAATTTAATAAAATATTTGGACAACTCTTAGATTCGAAATAATTTTAAAGAACTTCCTGTTTGTTCAAATTTACTGCGTGTTTCACGTCTGTTGGTTTGATTACACTGATAAGACTATCTACAACTATTCATAATTCAAATTCAGCCAAGAGATCTGTCTAGTATTGCCGAACTGTACTTTAGATGGGATACTTTTTTTATATACAAAAGGGGGTGGGTACAATATTAAAAAAAAAACGAACTGAACTAGTAACAGATATTTAAAGAAATGAAACTATGCTTTATAACTTTATATAAAAGGAATGTTTGTTTTTTCGCTGTATCATTAAAATCTGGTCCAAACGTAGCAACAACAACATCAAGGACGATGACGATGATTGATGATAATAATCACGTGGCCTAGATTTTAAAAAGGTCATCAATAATGAATGTAGAAATCAAAACATATACAGCAAACTATCTATGTCAAGTGGGACAAGTGTGGGGAGATCAGCTTTCATTTTCACTTCACCAAAGTTAATCCCAATGCAAAAAATGGGATAAAAATTTACGTTTGGTCGTGATTTGCGAGTACTGTAGAAGACCGATAGAAAAATAGTTTTAAATCTCCAGGCGCTTTATTGTGTGATATACACACAACAAAGAACAGTTCTATTTCCAAACTGGGAGACATGGACTAGTGCTAAGAGAGGTGTGGACTAGTGCTAGGGGAGGTGTGGACTAGTGCTAAGGGAGGTGTGGAGTAGTGCTAGGGGAGGTGTGGAGTAGTGCTTGGGGAGGTGTGGATTAGTGCTAGGGGAGGTGTGGACTAGTGTTAGGGGAGGTGTGGACTAGTGTTAGGGGAGGTGTGGACTAGTGCTAAGAGAGGTGTGGACTAGTGCTAGGGGAGGTGTGGACTAGTGCTAAGGGAGGTGTGGACTAGTGCTAGGGGAGGTGTGGACTAGTGCTAGGGGAGGTGTGGAGTAGTGCTTGGGGAGGTGTGGATTAGTGCTAGGGGAGGTGTGGACTAGTGTTAGGGGAGGTGTGGACTAGTGCTAGAGGAGGTGTGGACGTGCTAGGGGAGGTGTGGACTAGTGCTAGTGGAGGTGTGGACTACTGCTAGGGGAGGTGTGGATTAGTGCTAGGGGAGGTGTGGAGTAGTGTTAGGGGAGGTGTGGACTAGTACCTAGGTGTGGACTAGTGCTAGGGGAGGTGTGGACTAGTGCTAGAGGAGGTGTGGACGTGCTAGGGGAGGTGTGGACTAGTGCTAGTGGAGGTGTGGACTACTGCTAGGGGAGGTGTGGATTAGTGCTAGGGGAGGTGTGGAGTAGTGTTAGGGGAGGTGTGGACTAGTACCTAGGTGTGGACTAGTGCTAGGGGAGGTGTGGACTAGTGCTAGGGGAGGTGTGGACTAGTACTAAGGGAGGTGTGCATATGCTAGGAGAAACACGTGTTACATCTTAGTGTACATCTACTGTACATGTGCATGTGTACATCCACCGTGTTACAGCCATCACGTGTACACCCATGTGTACATACCCTGGTTCTGTGTACACAGTTGAGCACCTCTGGGAAGGCCAACTAAATGAGATGACACGTCCTTGACGAACGAGCTCAAACGGAAATGTGATGCATACATAATCTGGCAGGTAAAATACTACCTGGCACTATGCAACTTGACAGCTACGACATACCTTGCACGTCATTAAGGTGAAAACGTTATGTTGGACTTTCAGGGGCGTTACACTTATAGGGATATTGGACATCCAGGGGTGTTCAACTTTCAGCCAATATTAGACTTTTAGGGATATTGGACTTTCAGCAAATATTAGACTTTCGGGGATATTAAATTTTCAGGGCTATTGGTCTTTCAGGGATGTTAGATTTTCAGCAATGTCAGACTTGCAGTCATTTTTTTTAGTCATTCAGCGTAGTACTTCTAACACCTTACATGCCTTTGTTGAAATGTGGGAAAAAACCAAACCTACTAAAAAATAAATCAAAAAAGATTTAAAAGAAAAATCGTCGCACTACCTGGCAAACCAGTTTTTCTTTAACGGGCATTTTTTTAAAAACCTGGCTAACCAAGACATTGACACAAGACAACATAATTATTTTCTATCTGGACTGTTGCTATTGTTGGAGATCAGCC